CCCGCCCAGTGCACGAATTCGTGCACCGGGCCTCTAGTAATTTTAATAATAGGAGTGTGTACACAGTCTATGGACGAGGGTGTCACAGACCACACTTTTGACCAATTTAAATCGCAGCTAGGTTTTTGGATGTAACATTTCTGGCTTTAAATACATGAGAGCTTAGGAATTGGTGGTTGTGACAACTGAGCCTGCAGTTGATGACAAAAAATATTAAAGGTGAACTTCATTGGAGTTGCATCATGCATGAAGGTTAGGTGCTATAGTCAGCATGGGAGGCAAAACATCCAGATTACCTTCGGGAAGTCCTTAAAAGCACCATGTTGAAGGATTTCTCACGATACAGCAGTTCTGACATGTCTAATTTTTCTGCCAGGGTTAAATATCACTTTGCCTTTGGTTAAAGAACAGGTGAAGCAATTTATATCAATTTAGTGGTCATGCTATACAAAAAATGTGTCTGGAGTGTAGATATCGAATGACTCTTTACACATTTTAATTGTTCTTTAATAAGTGTTGGGAGATATATCTTAGGTTTTCATAATAATCATGTATAATCTTTATGCTGGTACTTATTGAGTCAAGAGAGAAATCATTATTCATGTTCAAAGAATTATATTTTTGTGATAAATTTAGTTTTTTTCTTTAGATAAATCTGTTTTGGAGTCACTTTATGGCTTATGCTTTTTCATGTGTAATATTTTTATTTTTTAATTTGAAAACTTAGTTAAATTTTATTTTATTGTTTAAAGTATTACAAATAGTAGTACATATGTCTCCTTTTTTTCCCCATTGACTTCCCCCCAGCCACCCTTACGGCCCCCCACACACACACACACACATAGTCTGTCTGATGCTTCTTTGCCTCTGTATCTGTTTTTGTTCATCAGTTTATAATGTTCCTTATATTCCACAAATGAGTGAGATCATGTGGTATTTATCTTTCACTGACTGGCTTATTTCACTTAGCATAATGCTCTCCAGTTCCATTCATGCAGTTGCAAATGGTGTAATATTTTTATAGTAATTATGCATTGTAAGTGTAATTATAACTGTCCATTAAACTTCAGAGTTGATCATGACTGCTTAATTTTATTTTTTATTTATTTTTTTATTTTTTTTACAGATGTTCCTTGTATTTTTAGTGGTGACCAGATTGGGATGTTGGATCCTCATCAAACACTTTTTGGTCCGCACGAATCAGGTCAATGTTGGAATCTCAAAGATGACAGCGAAGAAATTAGTGAACTTTCAGACCAGTTTGCACCATTTATTGGCATTTTTGGAAGCTCCAAGGAAACATTTATAAACGGCCATTTTCCAGGAACATTTTTCCGTTTTCCTCTTCGCCTACAACCTTCTCAGCTTAGTAGTAACCTCTACAATAAGCAAAAGGTTCTTGAGTTGTTTGAATCTTTTAGGGCAGATGCAGACACAGTGCTGCTGTTTCTCAAAAGTGTGCAGGATGTCTCCTTACATGTCCGAGAGGCTGATGGAACAGAGAAACTAGTGTTTAAAGTGACTGCTAGTGAGAATAAGGCCCTGAAACAGGAACGGCCAAATTCTGTCAAGATTCTGGAAACTGCTATAAGTAACTATTGTAAAAAGATTCCAAGCAATAGCATAACCTGTGTAACATATCATATAAATATAGTTTTAGAAGACGAGAGTACGAAGGACACACAAAAGACATCTTGGTTGGTGTGTAACAGTGTGGGTGGGCGAGGAATGAGTAGTAAACTTGATTCTTTAGCTGATGAATTGAAATTCGTCCCAACCATTGGAATAGCTATGTCTTTATCAAACAGAGATGATGAAGAAAAAGGAGCAACATCTGATTTCTCAGGAAAAGCATTTTGTTTTCTTCCCTTGCCTCCTGGCGAGGAGAGTAAAACGGGCCTTCCCGTTCACATCAGTGGGTTCTTTGGCCTGACTGACAATCGCAGAAGCATAAAATGGAGAGAGTTGGACCAGTGGAGAGATCCAGCTGCCTTATGGAATGAATTTCTGATCATGAATGTTGTCCCTAAAGCCTATGCTACTCTGATCTTAGATTCTATAAAACGCCTGGAGTCAAAGAAGAGCTCCGATTTGCCCTTGTCAGTTGACATAATCTATAAGCTTTGGCCTGATGTGAACAAAGTCAAGGTGCACTGGCAACCGGTATTAGAGCCTCTATTCAGCGAGCTGTTCCAGAATGCAGTTATTTATTCTATTAGCAATCACTGGGTCAAGTTGGAGCAGGCTTACTTCTCAGAACTTGATGAAAGTTTGGAACACACAAAGACTGTGCTCAACTACCTCCATAGCTCAGGAAAGCAGATAGTCAAGGTACCAGCGAATCTGGCTGCAGCCGTGCAGCTCACTGTCTCCAGTGAGAAACCTGTGCGGAAGGTGACACCTGCGTGGGTGCGGCAGGTGCTGAGGAAGTCTGTACACCTGGGTAGTGCTGAAGAAAAGCTTCACCTCTTAGAATTCGTGCTGTCTGACCAAGCTTATAGTGAACTGCTTGGGTTGGAGCTGCTACCTTTACAAAATGGAAATTTTATTCCCTTCTCCTCATCTGTATCAGATCAAGATGTTATTTATATTACCTCAGAAGACTATCCAAGGTATAGACCACACTTTTAAAAATATGGATTTACTCTTAGAGACTCCTGCCCCTGCCCACATTTACAGTCCTTTATTATGAAATTCATCAATTATCGATGTAGATTTTTATAATAAGGAAGACTTTTGCAGAAATATAATACTTTTTAAATATGAATGGATACATTTTTACATCCTAAAGTGAAAATATTCACGTTTATCAGTTAAGTTATCCGAGCCCTGGCCAGGTAGCTCAGTTGGTTAGAGCATCATCCCCATATGCCAGGGTTGTGTGTTTGATCCCTGGTCAGGGCACATGCAAGAATCAACCAATGAATGCATAAATAAGTGTAACAACAAATAGATGTTTCTTTCCCCCACACCTTCCTCTCTCTCTAAAATCAAGTTTAAAAAAAGTTCTCCTAGCAATTGTTTGGTTTTTTTTTTTGGAAATTTTAATAACAAAATACTGAAAACAATGGTTATTAAGTGCAAATAATAACAGATTTGTCAATGAATTATGAAATTTAAATGAATTAAAATACAGTTAAGTAATTCTTTTTTTTTTTTAAATATATTTTATTGATTCTTTACAGAGAGGAAGGGAGAGAGACAGAGAGTTAGAAACATCGATCAGCTGCCTCCCGCACATCTCCTACTGGGGATGTGCCCGCAACCCAGGTACATGCCCTTGACCGGAATCGAACCTGGGACCTTTCAGTCCGCAGGCCGACGCTCTATCCACTGAGCCAAACCGGTTTCGGCAGTTAAGTAATTCTTTATAGCTAAGCTTGTATATTGGCATTTCAGAAGATAAAATTAATTTTATTCTGAAATGTTTATAGAGTATTTCTGGGTATGCATGTGGTGCATGATGCCCTCATGGTTTAAAGTGAAGGCTCATTAATATTTGATCAAGAAATATTATTGTGTGATTTGATGTGTGTGTTCATTTATATAAAATAGTACATTTAATTGGCTTGAAATTATTTAATTATTTTATTTTAGAAGTGTTAGAAGATTATAATTGCTGTGGTCCTTTCACTTTTTAGGTCCCTTTTCCCAGGCCTTGAAGGAAGATTTATTTTGGATAACTTGAAGCCTCACCTTCTAGCTGCTTTAAAGGAAGCTGCCCAAACCCGAGGTATTATAGTTTAGCTTTTTCAAAATAAACCTATTTATAAAAAAATAAAGTTTTTATAAGTTTTCTATTAAGTTGAACCAATATGAAATTGCCAATAGTTTTCTGTTTTAGTCCTATAAGTCAACAATTTCATATGGTTCAACCTAATATAATTGTTATATTTTAAGATGTTTCAATACTGGATTCTGACATCTGAAATAATCCAAAGTTGTATTTAAGATTCTCTCCTGCCTGGCCTGCGTGGCTTCTTGGTTGAGCATCGACCCATGAACCAGGAGGTCACAGTTCGATTTCTGGTCAGGGCACATGCCCAGGTTTCCCCAGTAGGGGATGTGCAGGAGGCAGCCGATCAATGATTCTCTCTCATCACTGATGTTCCTATCTCTCTCCCCCTCTCCCTTCCTCTCTGAAATTAATAAAAAATATACTTTTTTTAAAAAAAAAAAAAGAAACTCTCCTGTCACATTATGGGGTATACATTGATGGAAATAATATCTTATGCCTGCACAGAACTTTACTTTCCATCCTTCCTCATTTCTTTCCTCATTTGAGCCCTTGACCTCATACCTTGTAGTGTGTGCAGTAATGAGGACAGCTGTTGTCTCAGATTGCGCAGATAAGGAGAGAAAGTGGTTAAGTTCAGGGTCTTCAGCTCATGGGTACCTTGTCAGTCATGTTCTGTTGCCCATACCACTTTGCCTTACACAGTTTTGTGTAGTTGTGCTGTGTCACTTCAGGGAAATGCAGACAGATAAAATGAACTCACAACAATATCAGGAAAAGGGACTCCTTGGGCTCTAGCAAAGGATGGGTACCCTTTATTAAGAATTCTTTTTAGGAAAAGATAGAATAGTTTTGGGGGGAAATTATTATGGTTTTAAGTTTGATATTATCTTGCAACTTTTGCAAGCATCCTTTCCCTTCTAAAACGATTGCCTAAACTTTTTCTAAGTTAGATATTGTCTTGAAAATTCTGGTTTTACTTCACTGGTTAAGGTTGTAAAGCATATTATTTGTGATGTGTCTTTTATAGCATATGCTATTTTCAAAGGTAATGACAGAAGGAAAAGTTGTAATGATTGTACAGCTTAATTCATTTAAATATAAACTAAAGGAATTGGAATGGGGGAGGCAAATTAAGGATGGAGTCAAAGTGAGACTAAAGGAAAATGAATATGTAAATACTGTTTACCATAAGGAATCTGTAACTATGAGGTAGGGATGGTGACATTGATGGGAACTGTCATCTTCAAGTAGCTTTTTTGGGAATCTGAATATGCATTCCTATAACCCTGCCATTGTTTGCTCCAAAGTTTTACAAATTGTTATTTTTCAAATAACAATCGAAGTTACTATATTCTGGTATAAAAACTTTACATTGAAATATAATATGAATACAAAAAGGTGTGCATATTATAAATGTAAGCTTAATGAAATTTTGCAAACTGAAAACACCTAGATAAAAAAACAAACAAGATCGCCAACACCCAGAAACTCCTTCCATGCCTTTTTCAGTCCTGCTCACTCAGGGATAACCATGATCCTGACTTTTAATAGCACTGACTAAATTCAGTTAGTTATTTGTTCTATCTATAAAAAGAATCAAACAGTATGTACTCTTTGTGTCTGCTTCTATTACTTTAATATTTGTGACATCATCAAGGTTTTTGCATGGAGTTGTAGATCTTTTTTTATTATTGCTGTGGTATTTCATTGTCCGATGTATTACCTTCTTTTGAAGAGAATATTTTCGTTAATGGCCAATAGTTTCTGAGGTGGATATGAATTTAGAAATCTGCCAAAAGTTATTCAGAACTAGTCAGGTAGAAAGGGTACAAGGCCAATAGAATAATACTGTGCTTTTACTCAAAGATTTTTAAATACCCTGTTGCACAGGGAATGGCAACAACTTGCTTTTCTAGCTTTAGGTGGATGGGGTACCTGTTGTTATGAGTTAAAATATATATATTAATTTAGGTAATTTGACATCTTTACAGAGTTGAGTCTTCTCACTTTGTATGTCTTCATTTTCTCATCTAGTGTGGATTCTGATTTGCTATTTTGGGATTATTTCGTTCACAGTATATTTTGTCTCTGGCTTTTGGTAATGTTCTTTGGACTATTACACTAGATGGGATGTCTTCACTGTTTTGTTTGTCATCCATAATGTGTGACTTGGTTCTCCCAGGAATTGTCTTCATGTTCACTTTTTTTAAACCTTGATTTAAGTGTTAGGCTACCATTCTTATTGTTATTTAATAATCTTTTTCAGTATTTTTATTTGGCTATATGGGTGATGGGTAACTGTGTCCTGGGCATCTTCCTTCCTTGTTACAGTGGGCCTTGACTTACGAGTGTCCCGACTAACGAGTTTTTCGAGATACAAGCCATCTCTTGGCCGATTTTTGCTTTGAGTTGCGAGCTAAAATTCGGGTTACGAGCCAGCTTCAGATACCCCACCGCTAGTTGGCGCAGTGAACGCCACAACATCAGCCCAGCATCACGTGTCTCACTCGTTCACTTTAAGATTTGACATACGAGTAATTTGAGTTACGAGCTCCGTCACGGAACGAATTAAACTCGTAAGTCAAGGCCCCACTGTATTTTTATATCATTAGTTCAAAAATATTAAATTTTGTTTCAGACAAAAATTACTTTATTGCCATGAACAATTTTAATATTTTGTGAGCACTATAATATAGGGGCTGACAGGGACCCCAAAAATGGCCCTGGCTTTTCTTTTTTGAGATCTGAGTTAATAAAGATACACAGAAAGAGGTCCAGCAGATAGATGCAAAAATCACCTGTTCTGTGTTGCTGATAATTCTGGTGTTGGAGATCATGACTCATGTCAGGCAGTGGACTTCTATAATTCATCTCCAGAATTAAACTGATAAGCACAGCCATCTAGTCTCAGGCAGCACTGGAATACCACAGGCTTCCTTACGGAGGAGCTGCCCTCTAGAGCAGGGGTCCTCAAACTTTTTAAACAGGAGGCCAGTTCACTGTCCCTCAGACCGCTGGAGGGCCAGACTATAGTTTAAAAAAAAAACTATGAACAAATTCCTATGCACACTGCACATATCTTATTTTGAAGTAAAAAAACAAAATGGGAACAAATACAATATTTGTATTTGCATGTGGCCCGCGGGCCGTAGTTTGAGGACCCCTGCTCTAGAGACTTCTGAGCAGGCACAGATTCTATATACTTGTCATGCCACTTGCTGGAGTGGTGCAGAAGGACGGATTAGTGAATGTGGGAGAGGGAAGCTAAGAGTATTATATTTATGGAGCTCCCTTCATATGGTAGGAAACATCACAAATATTTGACATTTTTTGCTGTAATGATTATGCAGTTATTTTGTTGACACAAAGCACTGTGGACTTCTGTTTACTGATTATCAGTAAAAACTGGCCAGTTTTGAAAGTAGTGCTGCATAAAATTAAGACCTGTTTTTTTCCTCTGCAATAGGTACTTCTCTAATTCTATAGCTCAAAAAAAAATCTGTCTCATTATTTGATAGTTTTACCTTTTACTTGTATCACATTTAAAATCGTAAGCTAAATATTAAGTTATTGCTGGTATTTTTACCCAAAGTCTACTGCTTCTTTCCCTTTAGCAATTAAGTAAGCATGTCTCAGTCTTTCTCATTTTGGGAAAAACAAAACAAACCTTGACTTTGATTTCGTTTCTTACATTCTGTCATAGTCCAGCTTCTAGAACAGTGGTTCTCAACCTTGGCTGCATATTAGAATCACCTGGGAATCTTTTTAAAATCCTGATTTCTGGGCCTCATCCTCCGGAAATTCTGTTTCTTTGTTACTAATGTTGTGGCCCCACCCCATAACAAAGAAACAGAATTTCCGGAGGATGAGGCCCAGAAATCAGGATTTTAAAAAGACTCCCAGGTGCTTCTAATGTGCAGCCAAGGTTGAGAACCACTGTTCTAGAAGGAGTAGTGTATGCTTATAGTCTATGTCAGTGATGGCGAACCTCTGACACGCGAACTCATTTTTTTGGTTGATTTTTCTTTGTTAAATGGCATTTAAATATATAAAATAAATATCAAAAATATAAGTCTTTGTTTTACTATGGTTGCAAATATCATCAAATTTCTATATGTGACACGGCACCAGAGTTAAGTTAGGGTTTTTCAAAATGCTGACACACCGAGCTCAAAAGGTTCGCCATCACTGGTCTATGTAGTAGTCTCCTTTATCCATGGTTTTGCTTTCCACGGTTTCAGTTGCCTATGGTTCAGTAGCCACCTCAGTTTTCAGATAGTAGACTATCACAGTGCTGTATTCAAGTAACCCTTATTCTGCTTTATAATGGCCCAAAGCACAAGAGTAGTGATGGTGTCAAGTCAGGTCTGCCAAAGAGAGGGCATAAAATGCTTCTTTTAAGTGAAAAGGGTATGTACGCATAGGAAATTATATATATACTAGAGGCCCGG